TGCCGCTCTTGTCCAGCATATTTCTTATATTTTGCATTTGCGGGCTTATTTAATCGCTTCGCTCATTCCGCCGGCCCTGGGGCCCTCTTTAGGGCCTCTGGGGAGCCTCTTGTGGACCTCTTGGGAGTTTCTTGGGGCTTCTTGGCGGCGTCTTGGGGGCCCTCAGGGCCTCTTGGGGATCTCTTCGGGGCCTCTTGGGGCCTCCTGGGGGCCTCTTAGGGCTGGAGGCTCGAACTGTTTTTCGTGTTCCCTCTTTGGGACCCCTGCGTCCTTTCAAACGCAGAGTGTGTATTTTGTCGAAGAGAAATTGGGGGGTATGAGGAGGAGGAGAAGGAGGAGGAGGGAGGGGGAGAAGGAAGAGGAGGAAGGAGGAAGGAGGTGGGAGGAGGAGGGGGAGGAGGGAGGAGAAAGGAGGGAGGATGGAGGAGGGAGGAGGAAGGACGAGGAGGAGAAGGAGGAGGAGGAGGAGGAGGAAGAGGAGGATCGCTGGCTGGTTGAATGCTCGGGGGGCATTTGGGGTGCCTCCTGAGGGCGCTTGGGGGCCTCTAGGGGGCCTCTTGGGGACTTCCTGAGGGCGTCTTGGGGGCGTCTTGGGGACCTCTTGGGGGCCTCTGAGGGCCTCTTGGGGCTTCCTTGGGGTTCGAGATTTTGTTTCGTGTTCCCTTTTCTGGGGCCCCTCTTGAGGCAGTCTGGGGGCCCGCTTGGGCCGTCCTGGGGGCTCCTTGGGCCGTCTTGGAGCTGTCTTGGGCGTCTTTGGCCGTCTTGGGGGCCTCTTGGGCCTCCTTGGGGCGATCTTGGGGGTCTTGAGCCGTCTAGGGGCGTCGGGAAGCCGAAAAGGTGGAAACGCCCAAGTCCGTCCAAAACCCGAGGGACAGCAATGAATTTTGCTTTTGTGGGTTCTCTTGGGAGTGCTCCTGGAGGCCTTTTGGGGCATCTTGGAGACCTCTAGGGCCATTTTGGAGGCCTCTTGGGCCGTCTGGATGCCAGCTTGGGCGTGGTGGGGCGACCTTCGGGCGCCTCGGGCCTCTCTTGGACCGTGTTGAGTGCCTCTTGGGACCCTCTTGGGGCGATCCTGAGAGCCCTGGGGGAGTCTCCCGGGCCGCGCCCGGGCCGCGCCCGGGGTACTTTTGGTCCGGGGACTCCCAGGGGCCGCACCGCGCGCGCGAAGTAGAAATATTGTATAGATGGTACCGGAGATCTTTGCACGCCTCTGGCCCGTTGGGCCGGAGAATTTAGGCCCGAGGTTCGTTGTGCGGAGGTCGTAACGCAGCAAGATCCAGCTTCAAGCCTGGACACGAACAGGGCGACTCGAGGCACAAGGGGAGGGAGAGGGAGGAGACGCGTCTGCGTGCTTTGCCCTGTGCCTCTCTCTCTTATCCTTGATCCTCATCTTCCAGCTTTGCTCTCGGCCAGGAGCTATCCCGCGGTTCTCTCCCTCGGGCGTGTAGAGGTTTAACCATACCTTCCATGCAGCTCCGCATGATCTATATGACTTGGACAGCTCACACCCTGCGCACTCCCACATTAAAGTGCTCTTCAGAAGCATCCCTCGTGACGGATGGCGCGGATACGTCCAACGGCTCTCGGCCAAGGACATCATGGCGCACGCTGCAAAGCGAAGCGCAGGGAGCACACGAGGGAGCGCGCGCGCAAACGGCACGCACATCACAACACATTTTTTCCTCTGGGCGACGCGTGGTTTCCCGAACAAAGACACATGCCAGACCCTTCGTAGCACTCGATGCCTTCTCGGTATGTGACGCATGCGCGGGACGGGAAATCGAGGTGTGCAGACCACCTTTCACGGCCTCGGCGGTATCCTTGCTCTGGCCTACATGGTGGAGAACGCACGCAAACACACACACACACACATCATAAAAACGCTGCGTGCTGCCAAACCAGCGCTGCAAGCCGCGATTCCTATGCAAGGGTTGAATCTCCCATTCTGCTACGAATACCTTTCTAAGCTACACCAGTCGTTATGGTTCCCGCGTGAAAGTAAGCCCGACACATCTACACGGTATGCTGCCCTGGCCACAGAGAGTGGCCAATGGTGCATCGGGAGAGCTCAGGCATCCCGCGCGCGCAATCATCATCCATGGTACGGAGGCGTCACCCGATATAAATATCACTATGAAGCCACGTATTGTAAAACAGGGGGCCAAACACATCGGTTTCGCTACAAATCGTATAGTCGTGATTCGTGGTGTAGTTTCTGCGCCCGTCCAACAGCTTTCGGTTCTACGTCGCACATCATACGGTACGAAAGCTTGGTCATTGATATCGCCCAGCCACCCGCGCAGAAGAGTGCACGTTTCACGCCAACGAGGGAAACAACAACGGAAGCGTGACTACCCACGCTTTCGTGCCAATCCCTCACTACAACGAGAGGTGTCACTGAACCTCCTTCTCCAGTTACGACTTGATTTTTCTTTCCGCGCACGTTTTTCCCAGCAGTCGTTTTCGCGGCAAGCGCTCCTCTCATAGACTAAAGAGCAAGATTCCCTCTCGCAGGGAGACGCCGCTAGACTGTTGTACAATCGAGGATGCGAGAATTGGCTTGCAATTTATCTTAGTGAACGAAGAAACCGTTTGGATTGTAAACGAGCGTGGGGGCATACGCGCGTATCTGACTATATCATTGACGTTTTGTCAAAAGCTCCAGTTCTGCAGGATGGACCTCGAAGAAGTTCTCAAAACAAGCCCGGGCGTTTTCTACACCCGGGCAACCTACATCCAAACCGCGCATTCAATATCCATGTGCAGTCATACAAGCCAAGTGTCATTATAATCGTTCGTAAAAATGTTGCCACATGCGTGTACAAGGTCAGTCGGCATCGCTCACATCGGCCCCTATACTTTCGAGCGAAAACATATGCTCTTCCCTTTAAGCTTTCGAGAGTTAGCGACCGCACCACGTGCCAATATGAGGATTCTGCTTTGTTCTGTCTTCATACCTTAAGATCAATGTGTTGCCATCCGACAGATGCCCTTCTTGCATGCTACGATGCGTTCTGGTGTGACCAATGCTGGGGCGCGCCGGCGGGCGCAGCACCTGACAGGCTTTGGCAGAGGACAGGGGAGCAACTACGGAAACACCACTGGTTATACATTTTCTCTCGTAGACCTCCAAATTGTTTGCTTCCTTGTGCGCGCAGTTCTGGAGAGATTTCATGCAGGCGGATCCATCGCATGATGCCCATGAGCGCCCTCCGCTTGTCTTGTTTCGTAACGCATGCGCCTCAGAGTTGGGGCGCTTGGCGCGAGTGGGGGTCGACGCGGACCCGCGCCGACGCGCGGGGGTGCCCTGGCGCAAGCACCCGTGGCACCTCGGAAAAATGTTTTCTGGGGGGCTCTGCCCGCTGCTAGCGCGCCCCCCCCCGTCGCAGAAATGAGCCGCGACATCCCGGCGCGAGCTCGACGAGGGCCCCCCCCCCCCCCCAAGAGATGCAGGAAGCCCGCCCCATGCCAGCCAGAGCACATTGCACGCGCTTGCATCGCATACCAAGGTGAATGCCTTTCCCGAGAGGACGACAGTTTAATGCGTGACCGGCATCGTAGCCATGCGCGTGAGATCGCCCCCTCATAGCACGCCACGCCAAAGCGTTTCTCGGGGCAAATTGCGCGCGCCATTCGTCTTGCAAAATTATATTCCTCTGACATATCCTAGACGTTGTGGAGGCCGGACGATTTGCCCAGCGTTGCTCGCGATCGCATACCCAAGCTCAAGGGGCGTCGGCTACGGCAAACCAAATGCAGAAAGTGTTAGCAAGACAAGCTACCTAGGAGTTTTTGCCAAGCAGACGTTTCCCAGTTCTTCAAGGGTGCACGTCTTGATCGAGGAGCCTGGTGCGCGCGTGACTTGTTGCGGAGACTCGCAGCACAGCGCGCATATACAGGAGTGGCTGTTCGCAGAGATAAGCCAGCCACTGGGTGCCTGCATAAGCCAGGCGGTCGGATCAAGCAATATCATGACCTCATGACATTTCCAGATATCGAACGTTCTGGGCTACGCCAAGCACGATTGCCACGTTGCTGTAAGGTGGCGAGGTTTTCGGGCGACCGAGAGGATGGGCGATGGGCGCCGGCCTATCGGAACCAGCCACCCTCGCAGATCTCTGAGAGTGCATCCATGGACTATACTCTAGCCACCAATATGCTTGCTCCCTTGGATTTGCTTCCCCTGGTACCCCTGCAAATCCATGTCGTCCACGGCGTCCTATACGTGGGTGATAGTATTTCTTTCTGACGCATACTTTGTGGACAATGTCTCTTTCGTTCCCTTCGTAAGTTGTTCCGCTCTGACGTTGGCTTCGCGCGTGAAGGTGCCTCCCTGCGCATCCCCTTCCTCCAATGTCAGATCTCTTTGGCGGTGCCCAGTGCCAAATGCGCAGGGCAGGCTCTCGAATGCCAGGCTTTCTCCCTTAACCGTGAGTTTGCTATCGGAGAGGATCGCCGGCCGAAGTCTGCTAAGTTCCCTTGCTACCCTCTCGCCCCTGCCGACCTCTCACTCCCCTTCCTCCGCGCGCGGTTGCGGGAGAGACTCATCGCCTTCAATATTGCGCGCGCGCGGGGTGGGGCGGGGCGGGGCAGGGCGGGGTGGGGCGGGGTGGGGGGCAGAGAGAGCGCGCCGAGCCACCGCTGCAATTGCGTGTGGAATCCTCTTTCTTGGCTGGCCCGCGAGGGGCGGGGGCCTCGCTTCGCGCTCAGTGCCCAGATGCCACGCCTCGCCATATCTCGCACTCGTTCGACGGCTCGGGCATCGGAGCCGGCAAAGATGGATCTTGGATCCGAGGCGAACAGGAACGAGCTCGGCACAGCGTTGTCCTCTGATCCCGACCTCCTCCGTTCCATGGTCGTCTCGGCTCAAATTTGCTAGCGTGCCTCTTCAGGCATCTCCGCCTGCGCGTCGTGATTTTGGGCGCCCGGCGGTCCGCCGGCGGCGGGGCGCGCTCCTGGGCCACGGGGCGGAATGGGAAAAGCCGCGTCGAAAACTCAAGCCGCGGAGGTGGCAAGGGCAAGGACAAAGGCAAGGACTACAACGCCAGCCGACCTCGGCAGCACTCGACGAATGCCAGCCCGCCGCGCGATGCCTACCTGCGCGGCGCTATTGGGGGCGCGCGCCAGTCGACAGCCATGTTCAAACAGAAAAAAGCTGACCGTGCTGAGAAGCGCGAGCGCAAGGCGCTCGCCTCCAGGATCCGTGATAATGTAGCCCCTGCCATCAACGGGCTCGTCGGCGGCGACAGCGCCCGCGCGCAGGTCGAGAAGAACAAGCGCGAGAAGAAGGATGCGAATACCAAGGCGCTTGGTTTCCTGAAGATGGCCAGCGGTCGCACCCCGAAGAAAAAACGCGGCGATGCGAGTTCGGCGGGCAGCTCAGGACAGCAGCAGCGCCGCCAGTAGCTCATATCGCGACAACATGTCCCAGTCCATTGCGAAAAAGATGATTGAGAAAAGCACGCGGAACGAGAGCGAGCAGATCGACTTCCAGATTTTGAGGGCCCCGGTGGAACAATTTCGCGCCCAGCAGAACAATGCTGATTTTGAGGTATCGGGCGATGGCGATGGGCGCGCCCTCCAGCAGCTCCTCTCAGCCGCCAACAACAAATGCCATAATAAGGACCTCAATTCGTTCGCGCAGAGCCTCGCCGCGCCCAGCAGCAATGGGGGGGGGGCCTCCACCCTCGCGCAGATGTTGCAGATCGTGCGCGGCTCTCCGAAGAAGGACGAGGCGGCGCGCAAGCTTGCCAACCCTGGCTCCGAGGAGCCCGCAGGTGAGACGCCCGTCGCCGCCGCCGACCCAGAGCGCGCGCCTGCCGTGGAAGAGCTCGCGAACTCCGTGGCCCCACTCCAGGGGGTCCGTAATTTCCCGTGCGGGAGCGAGGGATTATTGTCAGAGCTTGCCAAAGTGGAAGGAATCACCCAGTCCGTTTTGAACGGTTGGTTGAAGTCTTCGCAGCTCTCCACGAGCACGGGCCGCAACAAACTTGAGAAGCTAGAGCATTTGTTGAAGCATGTTGAGGGTAAATGCCCAGTGGGTCAGCGTTGATGGGCAAACGCCATTCCACCCCCTGGGCTCAGTGGCCGCGGCGCCGTGCGCGCCGTCTGCTTCGCCTCTTTTACTTAGTTTGGCTTCCCTGTGCAGCGATTGCAGGTCTTTTTGCGCGGGCAGGCCGCCGCCCCGCAGCGTGCTCCGAGCCTGTCCTCTCGAGTATCGCGCTCGTTGTCAGCCGTGCTTTGATATTTGCTGCTGCGCGCTACTGCAGGGCGGGCGCGGCGTCGGCAGCGGCAGCAGGCTGCTAGTGCACCGCGCTTAGGTTTGAGAAGCATCGGATTGCAAGTCTGATCTCGGAGCTAGACTTCCAGAGCACGAGTGCTTTGGCGACGCTAGCTCGCCGTGCTTACCTAGGCATGCTAAGCTCTGTTGTTCTCATTGGGCAAAGCATGTTGTGCTTGGGAGATGTGTTATATGCGCACCGATGTTGCCCAGCATCGTTATTCCATCTTGCGCGCGCGGGCTTCTTTAGGCCCGAGGTTCGTTGCGCGGAGGACGCGGCGCAGCAAGATCCAGTTCCAAGCCTGGACGCGACAGGGGCTGCTCGAGCAACGCGGGGAAGGGGGGGTGGGGGGGCGCGCCTGCGTGCTTTGCCCTGGGCCTCTCTTGCATCCTAGATCCTCATCTTCCAGCTCGTTTGCTCTCGACCAGCAGCATCAGCAGCAACATCAGCATGATGAGGCGGAGGAAGAATATGCGGAGGAGAAGGGCGAGGCGGGGAGGGGGGGGGAGATGGGGCGGGGGGATAGGAGGAGGAGGATGAGGTGGAGGAGGGGGAGGAGGAGGAGGAACAGCAGGAAGAGAAGGAGGAGGATGAGGACGCCGAGGAGGAAGGCGACGACTGGGACGAGAAGGTGGGGGCGGAGGCGGAGGCGGATGATTGTGATGATGGTGATGATGCTGATGATGATGATGATGATGATGATGATGATGATGATGATGATGTTGATGTTGATGTTGATGTTGATGACGATCATGATGATGTTGGTGCCGATGATGATGACATTGCTGATGATTAGGAGGAGGAGGGGAGGAGGAACAGGGGGAGACGAGCAGGAAGAGGATGATGAGGAGGGGGGGGAAGAGAATGAGGAGGTGGACGAGGGATTGCGGGTGTCACAAGGGGGGGGGGGGGGGGCGGAGAGGGGGGGGGGCGGGGGGGGGCGTGGACGACAACGCGCACGGACGGGGACGATGATCATGATCTGGGGGAGGGGGGGGAGGATGAGGAGGAGGAGGGCGGGGAGGAGGGGGGGAGAAGGAGAAGGAGGAGGAGGTGGAGGTGGAGGAGGAGGGGGAGGGGTGGAGGACAAGCTAGGTGCGATCGCGTCATATGTGACATCCTCCCCCCCCCCCCTTACCATGGCGTAGATCCCCTCTCTACTCGCACAGTCGGATGTCGAGCAGGGCAATGATCCCGAAAGGGTACGCGATGCATTGTAGAGCACGGCATGGCATGGCGTAGAAGAGCACCGCAAAGCGTAGTATCAAACTAGCATAGCATTGCATGCCGTGGCGTGGCACGGGAAATGACGCCAGCGCTGCAGCGGGAACACGAGTCGGAACGAGCGGAAGCGCGGCAATGAGGCCAGCACTGCTGCGGGAGCGCGATTCGGAACGAGCGGAAGCACGAAATGAGGCCAGCGCTGCAGCTGGAGCACGATTCGGAACGAGCGGGGCTCGAAAATGAGGCCGGCGCCTCAACGAGAGCAGCATTTTGAAAAAATGCAGGCGAAAACCCAACTCCGGGGAATCTTGTGTGTTCAAGATCAGTGCGCGGGGGGGGCTGATACTTTCAAACCGTCATCAGGGGAAGAGGGAGAGTCGTATTCATATTGAGTAATTGTTAAGTAATTGTGGAGGAGGAGGAGGAGAAGGAGGAAGAAGGCGAGGCTGGGGAGGGAGTGGGGGCGGAGGCGGGGGCGAAGCAGGATGGGGAGGATGAGGGGGGGGAAGGGGAATGCGGATGAGGACGGATGAGTGGGGAGGGGGAGGTGAAGGGGGATGATGATGATGATGATGATGATGATGATGATGATGATGATGATGATGATGATGATGATGATGATGATGATGATGATGATGATGATGATGATCAAGATGATGATGATGATGATGATGATGATGATGATGATGATGATGATGATGATGATGATGATGATGCTGATGATGATGATGATGATGATGATGATGATGACGATGATCATGAATGCGGTATGCTGATTCTGCTGATGATAGATGATGGATGATGATGATGATGATGATGATCGAGGATGATGCTGATGCTGATTCTGATAGCTGCTGCTGATGATGATGATGAGGAGGAGGAGGAGGAGGGGAGGAGGAAGGAGGAGGAGGATAGGAGTGAGGAGAGGAGGAGGACGAGGAGGAGGAGGGGAGGAGGGGGAGGAGGAGGAGGAGTGAAGAGGAGAGGAGGAGACGAGGAGGAGGAGGAAGAGGAGGAGGGAAGGAGGAGGAGTATGAGGGGAGGAGGAGGGGAGGAGGAGGAGGACGATGAGGGGAGGAGGAGTGAGGAGGAGGAGGAGGAAGAGGAGGAGGAGGAGGAGGAGAGAGGAGGAGGAGGGGTTGGAGGTGAGGAGGAGGAGAGGCGTAGTAATATTCTTACTAGTCATTAGGACTTATGATGATGAGTAGGATGAGGAGGAGAGGAGAGGAGATGGAGGAGGAGTAGGTAGGAGTGAGGAGGAGGAGGAGGAGGAGGAGGAGGAGGAGAGCTGTTTCGATCGAGCATTTGCTTGTGAGCAGCTTGCACATTTCACTTGAGTTCCCCCTCATCGCACATCTGCTGCAGTATCATGCCGGTCCATGGGCGCATCGACTGGATTCGCAGGCAGATTGATGCGGGTCGGCTGGCTCATGTGTGCATCAGCCAGGCGCGCGACCCGGCCAAGCTCAAATACAAGTTCATGTTGCATGCTTCTGGCGCAGACGCTATATCTAATCCATTTCGTGCTCATATCAATCAGCAGTTGGATTCCCTTCGTCGCCTACTTCAATCGCACACTGTCGTTGATAGAGGGCATAAACATTCTTCGGGAGTTACTGAAATCTGCTTTTGGTTGCGTCCGTTTTCTGGTCCGGTTCTTGCAGGAGCCCATCATGAAAGTAATGATGTTGGTTGCCAGCTCCATGGTACTCCAAATATCGTTGACGTCCTGGCGCGCTTGGAGGCCAAGCTTGATGCAACCTCGGCCCTGCTGGGCATGA